TGATATTTAGGAAGCAACCTTTAAGTAAATATTTCATAGCAATTAAATCGTATAAACCGTAGAGACACCGATTTGATAGCAATTAAGTCGTATAAACATACAGACGCCAATTATAAACACTCACTAAATATGTCTTGCACAAACGATTTAAAGTTTGCACACGGCAAAAACGAATCGTCGAATTATTAACCTTGTGTGTAGCTACTATAAGTCTCAAAAATCCATTTCACAGCTGTCAGATGCATGTGTATGATGAGCTGTCAAAAGATTGCAGAATGCGTATTCAGGCGAAAAGTAACTTTTAGAGTTACTCAGTAGTTTTCTTTTTCATAGCGATACAGAAATGCACAATTGTGAACCAGTGCATGAATTGATTTTTCGGTTGAGACGTTATAAACACCAATTTCTGCGGTGTTGACCACGAGAGACCACGACTTTCAGTGGTCTCTAAATCCGCGTTGCCCTCACGAGATTGAGTGTATTCTATCTGTAGTATGGTGTGCATGCGTGTAGGCATAACTATGCGCAGGTATCTGAGTGTCGGCTGTCCAAGCAACATTTTTCCGGAGTTTTGGGATTGACTTCGGATTGTTGTCGAGACTGGAACATTTAGATGTACATTTGAGAATGAATCGAATGGGATGTAATTTTTACCTCTACCTCGTACGCATGCGCCGTGATTCTCTATAATATATTTTAAAATGCCTTTATTTGCGTGTTTTAAAGCCAATATTGGAATATGATGGACATGCTTCAAGCACTTGTCGTGATTAACTAAACTGATTTAGTACGAAGGTTTTTACCTTAGAACTGAGAAGTAAGAATTTTACTTCTCTCTTATTTGTTGTCGTAAACACCTCCAACAGGTCACCTCAACTGCCTAAATCAGATTCCGCAAAGTATCGATAACAGTTTTAAAGGTCGGTATTCCGGGACTTAAAAGGGCGGAGTTATAAAGAAATACATCCTAACCCACACATCACCTCGTGCTGGCGATATTCGTACTGTCACGGTTAAATTTAATTCGATTTGTTACTTTTTGCAAGTGAAATAGAACAAATTGAAGATTGTAGGAAAGTCCTTGAACTTGGCATGTCTTGCATCACTAACCGATTCTGCACAAATAGACTACACACTAATATAGTGGCTTAGTGTTAAATATAGACATTATACTATACCGCATTTGCAAGGTCACGAAATCATTTTAAGTTGTTTTACGGTGTCTCTGTCCTCAACACTTTTTCATTTCGCAGATTATGTTGAAGTAATCATGTCATCATACTTTTGGGAGTAAAAATCGCTTTGCTATGGCTTATTTTGATACGGTGTGCAAGCGAGTGGACCATATGCGCAGGCATCTGATATGAGTGTCGGCTGTCAACCAACGCTCTAATCTTTTGTTTTTTTTCGGATTGTTGTTGAGGCCGCAACATTTGGATATAGCTACATTTGAGAATGAATCGTGTGGATTGTAATTTCTTTCTCTTCCTCCTGCGCATGCGCCGTGATCCCCTGTAATATAACAATGCCTATATGAGGGCGACTGAGTCAAGCAATTACTGATCATGCGAGACTAATCCTGTTGCTGTTGTTCTTCTGATATTTAGGAAGCAACCTTTAAGTAAATGTTTCATAGCAATTAAATCGTATAAACCATAGAGACACCGATTTGATAGCAATTAAGTCGTATAAACCATACAGACGCCAATTATAAACACTCACTAAATATGTCTTGCACAAACGATTTAAAGTTTGCACACGGCAAAAACGAATCGTCTGAATTATTAACCTTGTGTGTAGCTACTATAAGTCTCAAAATGGCCATTTCACAGCTGTCAGATGCATGTGTATGATGAGCTGTCAAAAGATTGCAGAATGCGTATTCAGACGAAAAGTAACTTTTAGAGTTATTCAGTAGTTTTCTTTTTGATAGCGATACAGAAATGCACAATTGTGAACCAGTGCATGAATTGATTTTTCGGTTGAGACGTTATAAACACCAATTTCTGCGGTGTTGACTGTACACCACCTTTAGGGCCTGTTTATATGATCCCGCCTAGCCGGGAAGGGACAGTTTCCGAGATCCCGCTTGTAATACAAACACTAATTAGTGTTTCTATGACCACTTTTCCATCCCGCCTAGGCGGGATCCCGGCACTTCTTGCCGGGATCCCGCTTAGACGGGACGAGAAATTGCCATATAAACACTCATCCCGCTTGGCCAGGATGATTCGCGATTAACATACATTAGAAGCATGTGTATATATTGGCATATTCGTTTTCTACCATAAAACATGCCGTCGAAGGAACCTGCACTACAAAATGGACTCGATATAAACACGCCATTCCGCCTAGGCGAGTTTCCCGGCTAAGCGGGATGAAAACATCCCGTCCCGGCCAGACGGGATCATATAAACAGGCCCTTAATTAACCTGAAATTCCTTTTAGACGCCGTTGTTTGTTCAACCCTTGTCCTTCATATGCATGATGTCAACATTTTAACTTCATTTAACGCCACTAGCCAAGTGTTGGGATTGTAAGACAAATTCAAAATATAAATTTTCTCAAGACTGTTTTCTACGAATTCGTTTATCCAACAAAGATTTCCTTTGTCTTAATTTTCTTTCTAATTATTATAACTAAGTCGACTAAAGCGGTTTCCTTGACCGAGCACAATTTAAAAGAAAATGAATGATGAGGAATTGGCTTGCATCGCTTGTTTAAATGCTTTGCCATTTTGCCTTGCAATTAAGTTGCAACAAATCAGTTCTCATACGAAAATGAGCCATGTGTGACAATGCGAGTATATTCTTTATTGATGTTTACCAAGCCTTTGCACACTCTATTTACTCAAAATATATACTGAGTAAGCGAAGACATTTCGGTGTCCGCTTTTCTCATTAATGTGCGACAGCGAAAAGCCCTTAAGTAATTGAGGGTTACTGCTTTAAACCACTGGTTTAAACACTGATTTTTCCCATTCCTTGAATATAGGGAACAATTTTATGGAATGCGTGCATTCGGATGAAAAGAGAGTTATAAGAACAGCATGTAACAATGTTTTATAGAAATATTCCAAATGTTTTGAGAAAACCAACATTGAGAGAAAACCAACATTGAGAAAAAATATTTTTTGGGGCGCTTTTTGTTGCTTCCTAAAGCCCTCCCCCCCCGTCCCGCGTCCCTAACCTAACTTGCAACCCTACTCTCCAGTAATGACTTGCGGAACGCGGCGCTAGTTAGGACAAAGATATTTATTATTACTCATTACACAAGGAAAACAATGACTAATTTTACGTTGTCGTTATGTTAAACGTGCGAAATGGTAAAGTTTTAGGCTAAAGTTGGCAATACATATAGTAATAATAAGACAAAAATATAGCTTATACAACCCATGTACTAAATGCATGATGCTACGAACAATTCAAAAGACTCATATATTTGATGCATCACTAAACGTAAAAACAAAATAATCCCCTTAAATTTAAGACTGCATCTACAAACCATCTTAAGTAATATATCAAAACGCGAAAGAGATTGTTCTTTCTAAGAAAATTTTTGCATTTTCTTCTTGTACTTCTCCTGAATCAATCTTGTATTTAGCCCTTCCTTTCCAGCACTTCTCCATCCCTCTTTGTCCATCTCACTCTTGATATATAATTCTTCACCCGGTTTATTCGGGATAAATCTCTCCTTGCCGGGGATCACTTGATGTTGTTTCTTGGTGCGCTTTGGACACACGATATTCTTCTCTTTTTTTTTAAATTCTTCAATACTCCAGCAGAATTCCATGGCAGTTGGGTCCAACATTTTATTTGGCGGTGGATTAATACAATGGGTTTGTTCCCCTATGGAAATCGCCATCCCATTGTTAAGATGAGGGTCAATGTGACAATGCATGATCCACCATCCTGGATTCGTTGCACGGAACCTAACTACAACATAACCACCAGCAGGAATGATGATCACATCCTTGCGTATCGTTGTGTCGTTAACAGGGGTTATATGTGGTCTACCCTCACGCCAGTCACCATGTCCACAATCTGGTACCTCTATATCGTCATTCTCTTTTTTTATTGTACCATCCGGGAAATACTCTGGGTAGGCGATTTTTGTCACCCAATATGAATGACCGTGCATGTGGTTAGGATGCGTTCCCAGATTCAATATACTATCTTCGCTGTGCCTTCTTGGTAGCGAGGAGAAGACGAATTCGATGGACTTTGACGGCATTTGATTAACATAAACCGAGTGCGGACATTCAACGCCACCGCAGGGCGGGTTTTGGTTATACGCGCATTCCTCTGGAACGGGTCCATCGCTCATGTCGAAAGGTATGTTTGGTAACCCATTTTTAACACTGTTGATCGTTGGGCCCGGGTTGAAAATGAAGTCGAAAAAAAACTCTTGTGCGTTCGCGTCGTTTGGAAGTTCATTTGGAGGGGTTGAAACTAGCAGGCTAAGAGCGTTGTACACGTTGATGCAACGATACGATGGAACATAACCCTCAGGGTAGTTCTGGAAAGGACAGTTCAACGCTATACATTCTCCCGTGCAGGGGTTCACGTTTAGTGTAGTTTCGTCCCCTTTATACTTTAGAAAAAGCGAAGCCACTGACTTCCGCTTATATGCGGTTTTGGCATTTGACCGCCAGTCGCTTTCGAATCGTGGAATTGTCCCTGCTGGTTCGAAAACGTCCCGTGTCATCACAACAAAATCGTATCGTTCGCCGACGTGAACGTGTAAAACGTCAGTTACAAAAGGTTTTGTAAGATAACCGTCCGTGGACACAACGATCAATTTATGGTCATCGATAGAAATGCGAAAGACGGTCTCCTCTATGGCGCCAATCACTCGAAATCTGTAGTTTTTCCCTTTCTCCACCGTATAAATGGTGCCCTGTATTAATAAATTTGTGTAGTTAAACAGATTCGCAAAAACACACCTCTTGGCGGCGAGACATCATCTGGTATCAACGCAAGGCGGTATCATATATCTCGTTTTAAAGTTGACGTGCTCGCTTGAACAACGTGCTACGATTGGACCTGGCTTATTTTGGCAACGAAAATCACACCACCCACCTCTAGTTCTGCACCCACCTCTCGTTCCACCCCCTACACCCACCTCTAGTTCTACTTCTAACTCGGACAATTCAGTTTTCAAAAACGTACCTCCTCAATTCCTTCATCTACAGATCCTCTTAGTACAACGCCATTTATTAGGAATGCGGAAATTTTTTTATTAAGTTGTGGTGACCGGGATTTATCCAGCATACAAACGCCTCCTTTTCCAGATTGCAGGTGTTCTGTAACAGACAACGTGTACTTATCTGGGAAATCTTGAATACTCTCTCCCTCCGGCAGGGGCGGGTAATTGCTCAATTCGTGCAATATTTCTTCCTTTTCTCTCACGATTAAAGCTCCTACGATTCCGTGATCTCTTTGATATCCCACGTGGGAATGATACCAATGAGTTCCCGAAGGATGAGCCCGGAATATATATCTAAAATGAAACGTGTATCTCTGTTTACCCCCTGCACTTTGCGGTGGGATTTTAGGAGATTCTTTAATTTCCGGTGGTTGAAAACAAAGGGCTGTAATGAATGTTTTAAGGGGGGTTATCAACGTTTCTTGTTAACCCTGGAGATCTCCTGATGAGTGATAAAGTCTACGTTTTCTACCTGAATTTTCCACCTTTGTGAATTGGGTATTGCGTTATATTCGCCACTCCGTCCATCCAGGGAACATTTCTCTGATGCATCCCATGCCAATGTATCGAAGTCACTTCATCGATATTATTGATGACATCAACAACTAATATTCCGTAGTGTTTTACGATAATCGTGGGGCCAAATCTGCCATTATTAATTTTGAATTTACTATTACCACCTGTGATCTCAAGCCTCACATAACAACCTTCGACTTCGTATCCACAATCACATACCGAAGGTTCAAAATCCGTTTCATCAGAGCAGGGGATATAGGGTACGCTGTACGGATCGAAACAGACAGGAGAATCATTTGTCGATAAACCTGTAAAATTTTACGATCTTATTAATGCTACATACAACAAAAAGACTCCTCACCTCCCCCTCCTGGCCATGTCGTCACCTCAGACATTGACATACATATACCTGGACTGTCTGCTCGTCATTAACAATGCGTGATTCAAAATGGCGGCGATTATGAGAGTGTTTGCTCATGAAGTCGACCGCTGACCAGTATTTCACTCTCATATTCGTCAGCAAATCTGAATCTGACTTGCCACGCTCGTCGCTAAAAGTGTACGAGCAGGCAGTCCAGGTATATATGTCAATACTCCTAGAAGGCAAATGTTGACATGTGGAGCCAGTTGTTCAAAGCTGGGTTATAGCGCTAACCCTGCGTTAAATTTTAATCCACTCTTTTTGTTTAAATGCTTCTGAATCGCTGTTATTCGCAACAATTATTCGCTGTGAATATCGCCCAATGAGAACCGAGAGGAAGTTTTTAGAAGCTCTAAGTTCTAAGCTCTAAGTCAAGTTGCAATAAAAAGACAACAAACATGTCCGATCTCTTTTATATAGTATCGTCTACATTGGGAGTCCCTCATGCCGTTCAGGTTTCCTCATCATAGAAAACCCAATCAACAAAGTTACAATATTCAAATATTACAAGTTGAGTTATTTGGGTAAAGCTGGGTAGCGCTATTCACTGGATATACTCTTCAATGGTTTTCATCTCCAAAGCTCTAATTTTTTGCATTTCCAACACTTTTACAACAACTGAAAACTCGCTACACGCGGTTGATAGCGTGATCTGGTCCTGGTCAATTATTTTTTACAATTTTTATAATCCTGGCAATTCTATACTGATTTACTGAATAGAATGATTTCAGAATCGAATAGAAAGATGTTGTATATTATATCCGTAGACCGTAGGCATAGACGAAATCCAGCTAAAATCTTCTGTCGTGAAAAATAGCAATCTTGGCTATATACCATGCAGAACATCATTTAAAGTGGAAGTCTAATCCGTATGTATACAAGCGGTTTGTTTACATTGTTGAACTTCTACACTTTTTAAAATACATTGTATTGCCTGAATATCTAACAACATTTAGGTTCGGTATGCTTTCAAATGAATATGAACTAGTGTTTTTGTTGAACAAAATTCGAAACAATGCGAAATTTGGACAAAATTTATTCAGAATTTGTGTCGGAGCTCACTTCCACGGACTTGACTTCCACTTTAGGAACATCTGTTAAATATTTCTATGCATACCCTGCACTGTTGACATCACGAAGAGAGCGGCAGCTAGAGCCAGAATATACTGCATATCTAAAGCCTCTAAAAGTAAATCGAGAAATTAAGAATGCTGCTAATATTCAGCATTTAAAGAGTAAAGGAAGTCGTTTCAATGATTTTACAATGGTCTTTCCAATACTACAGATGCAGCCGGTTGTGCAAAAGCTGGATAGCGCTATCCATCGGATAGTGATTTTTTCAATCGTTCTGGAAATGCTTGAAAAGCAATAAAATATCAGATTTGGAACGAAAAATTATTAAAGCGAACCTTCAGTAAATTGTACTGAATTTAGGAATACTAAGATTTAATGAAATGGTTTCCATTTGACGCCGACGACGGCAAAGTATTATTGTCGGTGATTTTTGATGAGTGAATCAGTGAAATAATTTGTCTTTCTGAAATCATTTTCTCCTTGGATGATTACAGACAATGAGTCGGCGACAGGTCGGCGTCATATGGAAACCAGGCTTGATACACTTGCACCCAACAACGGGAGATTTCAAAGCAAGTGAAAAAATCACAATCCGGTGGATAGCGCTATCCAGGCAGCCTTCGTACAACCGGCCCCTGATGTGTAGATGGGGTTCCCTCCCGACAATCACATCATTCACATGGGCAGAGAAAGCGACAACATAAAATAACCGTGATAACATGCAACCTGAAGGAAAATGCCACAAAATAAGGAATTCAGATATAAGACGATAAGGAACTCAGATCTAAAAGATTGTAAAAAAACTAGCTTTAATTATTCTTCACGAGCAACCAACATGCATTTATTGTCTCATTTGCATCTAACCAATAAAGAACTTTTGTTTTCGCTACTTACATATCAACTGAATATAAAACGTCGCATACGTCATTCAATGCTTGTCAACTAACTTTATATTATTTTCTTAATGTATAATAAAACCACATGTTTTTTAGAAAACAGACATATGTAACATTCACGCCTAACACAGTGTTCATCTTAATTCAACACGATAGATCAAAACTCTTCAAGACACAAGTCTTTGACAGATATTTCCTGTCAAGGATTTAAAGGCATTGAATTCAAAGAAGCATTATCTTTTTCAGAATTTCTCGTTGGATCGCCTTTACATGCACTAACACTGACAGTTTAGGAATGCTGAGTGAAATCAACACCAAAATGTGTGCGATTTCCAATAACAGCACGAGACGACAGTACCTATAATCTGAGACTTATCTTGCTCTACCACATCATTGCTATTTTAAAAACACTTTCCCTCGTGAAATTCCAAAACAGGCATTCATATTTTTCCAGATGTTGATGACATCCTTTCCCATTAAATGGTTGCCAACAAAATCCTGGCTAAAAATGCTTGCATTTGACTCGGCATTCGAAGTTGAGGGCATTTTGACTTATTGTGGCATTCATATACGCCAGTTGGCAGATAAAAAAAAAAGCGCAATGGCAATGTATTTATGAAAAGGTTTGCAAGCAAATACTAAAGTTCAAACTACTATGTCGTACTCCAAGTTTCTCAAATGCCAATATTATAGCTTCCGTTGACAGAACTGAAAAATATTTTCCTTTATGTATTGAATATATTACTCTAAACTCTAAAAGTTAAACCAATGAGAGCTTGGCATTTTACAATAAGTAACGACCGAGCTTTTTAGTCTTAGCCACAGGGACGCCGGAACCACGGGCACAGTGGGGGTAGCTGTCCCCCCCTGCCCTTTGCTTACGGGGGCAAGCAGGGGCAGCCCTGTTATCTTTGCTACCAAATAAAAGTATCATAAATTCAACATTTAATCATGATGCCTACTTTTCGCATAAAAACTAACCGGTAATATTATTGAAAATGCGTTCTCCCATGGATTTGCAAGTTCGCATGTACTCTTCGTGTGGTTGCTGTGGTAAAATGAATGTGCCCTTTTCTAAAACTCTGCCCCCAACGCCCTAAACTGCTTCCTTATATAGCCAATAGGGAACGATTAGCTTAACGTAAGTTTCGTTCATTAATTACCAGGCTACAAGTCCTTTGGTGAATGCCAATAACGACGTGAGCGAAAGGAAGGTTTATATCTGTTTTATAATACACTCAGAACTTCATTACAACTAATTCTCAATTCACAATTCTCAGACGTACTATATACCAGCTGTTTTCACCATTCTCCGTATATGAGCTGATATATCGTAAATAGCTTAGCCAATCACATCGCGTGACGCCGCAAATTCAGCGAGTAGGTATGTTGTAAACACTTTTCTCAATGAAAAACCGCATTATTACAGATTACTCAACAGTGCGGTTCAACTATTTGTTCTTGGCGTCATATTACTAACAGTTTTGCACCACGGATGTGGTCTATATGACACTCAATCATTTGATGAATCAAAATATTATTTTGGAACAAGAAAATTTAAATTCTAACCTGATTTTCAGCGCGTATCTTGATTTTTGTAGTCTAAGAAAGTAAAGGAATTATAGAGGAGTAAAAAAGTTAAAAGTAAAAAAGTTACACGTCATTAAGTTGAGGTAAAATAAGAAGTGAATATTGTAAGTAATATTGTACCTGGAAAGAATTGCAAAATTGAAATGTACATCACAGCGAAATACAAGGTAGAAAAAATCATACCTGATTTTTTTTGCTAGTCTTCGCCAACCCAAGCTGATAATGAGATGATGGTTTAACAGTTATGAACAAGTTTGTTGAAATCTGTTTGATATATAGTCTCGTTATACCGAGTATGCGCAGTCGGAACAAACTCTCAAGGGTTTCAAGAACTCAAGTGAGTACTGACAAATTAATGACAGGCCAGTGCGTGCTATTTTCAGTGTAATCTTCAGCGGTTTCTTAGTACATAAATAACATGTTAGCTTTGGTCTTATGTAAAAGCTTTATCACAGAGTCGTGGCTGGGATCTTAATTAGGGAGAATATGTATATATTTATGTTCAAATATGCGTGAAAACAATCCCTATCAAAAGAAATCAGTCAGGCATAAGACGAGTATATCAATGCATACACACCCCCCAATTAGACTTCTCTATCTAACTTCTCGCTTTGCTCAGCCAATATCGTAAACACGCCCCATCTGGCTCAGTGCTTTTGCAAAAATAGACTACATGCATGCATAAAATTGTGGTGGCATGTGTTAATTATAGATAAGTATATAAATATAGATTTGAAGTATAAGTGTTTCAGATGATGCTATCGACTTTCAATGGTCTCTAAATCCGCGTTGCCCTCACGAGATTGAGTATGGTGTGCATGCGTGTAGGCATAACTATGCGCAGGTATCTGAGTGTCGGCTGTTCAAACAACATTATTCCGGAGTTTTGGGATTGACTTCGGATTGTTGTCGAGGCTGGAACATTTAGATGTACATTTGAGAATAAATCGGATGGGATGTAATTTTTTCCTCTACCTCGTACGCATGCGCCGTGATTCTCTATAATATGACAATGCCTTTATTTGCGTGTTTTAAAGCCAATATTGGAATATGATGGACATGCTTCAAGCACTTGTCGTGATTAACTAAATTTAGTACGAAGGTTTTTACCTTAGAACTGAGAAGTAAGAATTTTACTTCTCTCTTATTTGTTGTCGTAAACACCTCCAACAGGTCACCTCAACTGCCTAAATCAGATTCCGCAAATATCGATAACAATTTTAAAGGTTGGTATTCCAGGACTTGAAGGGCGGAGTTATAAAAGAAATACACCCTAACCAACACATCACCTCGTGTTGGCGATATTCGTACTGTCACGGTTAAATTTAATTTGATTTGTTACTTTTTGCAAGTGAAATAGAACAAATTGAAGATTGTAGGAAAGTCCTTGAACTTGGCATGTCTTGCATCACTGGTTGATTCTGCACAAATAGACTACACACTAATATAGTGGCATAGTGTTAAATATAGATATTAAGGATATTAAGGATATATAAAGTGGCATAGTGTTAAATATAGATATTACACTATACCGCATTCACAAGGTCACGAAATCATTTCAAGTTGTTTTACAGTGTCTCTGTCCACAAAACTTTTTCATTTCGCAGATTATATTGAAGCAATCATGTCATCATACTTTTGGGAGTAAAATTCGCTTTGCTATGGCTAATTTTGATACGGTGTGCAAGCGAGTGGACCATATGCGCAGGCATCTGATATGAGTGTCGGCTGTCAACCAACACTCTAATCTTTTGTTTTTTTTCGGATTGTTGTTGAGGCCGCAACATTTGGATATAGCTACATTTGAGAATGAATCGTGTGGATTGTAATTTTTTTCTCTTCCTCCTGCGCATGCGCCGTGGTCCCCTGTAGTATAACAATACCTATATGAGGGCGACTGAGTCAAGCAATTACTGATCATGCGAGACTAATCCTGTTGCTGTTGTTCTTCTGATATTTAGGAAGCAACCTTTAAGTAAATATTTCATAGCAATTAAATCGTATAAACCATAGAGACACCGATTTGATAGCAATTAAGTCGTATAAACGATACAGACGCCAATTATAAACACTCACTAAATATGTCTTGCACAAACGATTTAAAGTTTGCACACGGCAACAACGAATCGTCTAAATTATTAACCTTGTGTGTTGCTACTATAAGTCTCAAAATGGCCATTTCACAGCTGTCAGATGCATGTGTATGATGAGCTGTCAAAAGATTGCAGAATGCAGACGAAAAGTAACTTTTAGAGTTATTCAGTAGTTTTCTTTTTGATAGCGATACAGAAATGCACAATTGTGAACCAGTGCATGAATTGATTTTTCGGTTGAGACGTTATAAACACCAATTTCTGCGGTGTTGACTGTACACCACCTTTAGGGCCTGTTTATATGATCCCACCTAGCCGGGAAGGGACAGTTTCCGAGATCCCGCTTGTAATACAAACACTAATTAGTGTTTCTATGACCACTTTTCCATCCCGCCTAGGCGGGATCCCGGCACTTCTTGCCGGGATCCCGCTTAGACGGGACGAGAAATTGCCATATAAACACTCATCCCGCTTGGCCAGGATGATTCGCGATTAACATACATTAGAAGCATGTGTATATATTGGCATATTCGTTTTCTACCATAAAACATGCCGTCGAAGGAACCTGCACTACAAAATGGACTCCATATAAACACGCCATTCCGCCTAGGCGAGTTTCCCGGCTAAGCGGGATGAAAACATCCCGTCCCGGCCAGACGGGATCATATAAACAGGCCCTTAATTAACCTGAAATTCCTTTTAGACGCCGTTGTTTGTTCAACCCTTGTCCTTCATATGCATGATGTCAACATTTTAACTTCATTTAACGCCACTAGCGAAGTGTTGGGATTGTAAGACAAATTCAAAATATAAATTTTCTCAAGACTGTTTTCTACGAATTCGTTTATCCAACAAAGATTTCCTTTGTCTTAATTTTCTTTCTAATTATTATAACTAAGTCGACTAAAGCGGTTTCCTTGACCGAGCACAATTTAAAAGAAAATGAATGATGAGGAATTGGCTTGCGTCGCTTGTTTAAATGCTTTGCCATTTTGCCTTGCAAGTTGCAACAAATCAGTTCTCATACGAAAATGAGCCATGTGTGACAATGCGAGTATATTCTTTATTGATGTTTGCCAAGCCTTTGCTCACTCTATTTACTCAAAATATATACTGAGTAAGTGAAGACATTTCGGTGTCCGCTTTTCTCATTAATGTGCGACAGCGAAAAGCCCTTAAGTAATTGAGGGTTACTGCTTTAAACCACTGGTTTAAACACTGATTTTTCCCATTCCTTGAATATAGGGAACAATTTTATGGAATGCGTGCATTCGGATGAAAAGAGAGTTATAAGAACAGCAGGTAGCAATGTTGTATAGAAATATTCAAAATGTTTTGCTTACCAACATTGAGAAAAAAATATTTTTTGGGGGCGCTTTTTGTTGCTCCCTAAAGCCCCCCCCCCGTCCCGCCTCCCTAACCTAACTTCCAACCCTAACTTCCAACTCTCCAGTAATGACTTGCAGAACGCGGCGCTAGTTAGGACAAAGATATTTATTATTACTCATTACACAAGGAAAACAATGACTAATTTTACGTTGTCGTTATGTTAAACGTGCGAAATGGTAAAGTTTTAGGCTAAAGTTGGCAATACATATAGTAATAATAAGACAAAAATATAGCTTATACAACTCATGTACTAAATGCATGATGCTACGAACAATTCAAAAGACTGATATATTTGATGCATCAATAAACGTAAAAACAAAATAATCCCCTTGAATCTAAGACTGCATCTCTAAACTACAAACCATATTAAGTAATATACTTAAACGCGAAAGAGATTGTTCTTTCTAAGAACATTTCTGCATTTTCTTCTTGTACTTCTCCAGAATAAATCTTGTATTTCGCCATTCCTCTCCAGCACCTTTCCATTCCTCTTTGTCCATCTCACTCTTGACATATAATTCTTCACCCGGTTTATTCGGGATAAATCTCTCCTTGCCGGGGATCACTTGATGTTGTTTCTTGGTGCCCTTTGGACACACGATATGCTTTTCCTTTTCTTTAAATTCTTCAACACTCCAGCAGAATTCCTTGGCAGTTGGGTCCATCATTTTATCTGGCGGTGGATTAATACACTCGGTTTCTTCCCCGATAGAAATCGCCATCCCATTGTTAAGATGAGGGTCAATGTGACAATGCATGATCCACCATCCTGGATTCTTTGCACGGAACCTAACTACAACATAACCACCAGCAGGAATGATGATCACATCCTTGCGTATCGTTGTGTCGTTAACAGGGGTTATATGTGGTCTACCCTCACTCCAGTCACCATGTCCACAATCTGGTACCTCTATATCGCTGTTCTCTTTTTTTATTGTACCATTCGCGAAATACTCTGGGTAGGCGATTTTTGTCACCCAATATGAATGACCATGCATATGGTTAGGATGTGTTCCCAGATCCAATATACTATCTTCGCTTTGACTTCTTGGTAGCGAGGAGAAGACGAATTCGATGGACTTTGAACTAGGTATTTGATTAACATAAACCGCGTGCGGACATTCAACGCCACCGCAGGGCGGGTTTTGGCTATACGCGCATTCGCCTGGAACGGGTCCATCGCTCATGTCGAAAGGTATGTCTGGTAACCCATTTTTAACACTGTTGATCGTTGGGCCCGGGTTGAAAATGAAGTCGAAAAAAAACTCTTGTGCTTGTGGGTCGTCTGGAAGTTCATTTGGAGGGGTTGGAACTAGCAGGCTAAGAGCGTTGTACACGTTGGTGCAACGATACGATGGAACATAACCCTCAGGGTAGTTCTGGAAAGGACAGTTCAACGCTATACATTCTTCCGTGCAGGGGTTCACGTTTAGTGTAATTTCGTCCCCTTTATACTTTAGAAAAGCGATGCCACTGACTTCCGGCATATTGCGGTTTTGGCATTTGACCGCCACCGAATCGATTCGAATTGGAAAAATTGTCCCTGGTTCGAAAACGTCCCGTGTCATCACAACAAAATCGTATCGTTCGCCGACGTGAACGTGTAAAACGTCAGTTACAAAAGGTTTTGTAAGATAACCGTCCGTGGACACGACGATCAATTTATGGTCATCGATAGAAATGCGAAAGACGGTCTCCTCCATGGCGCCAATCACTCGAAATCTGTAGTTTTTCCCTTTCTCCACCGTATAATATGGTCCCTGCAAATATTAATAAATTTGTGTAGTTAAACAGATTCGCAAAAACACACCTCTTGGCAGCGAGACATCATCTGGTATTAACGCAACGCGGTATCATATATCTCGTTTTAAAGTTGACGTGCTCGCTTGAACAACGTGCTACGATTGGACCTGGCTTATTTTGGCAACGAAAATCACACCACCCACCTCTAGTTCTGTACCCACTTTTCGTTCCACCCCTACACCCACCTCTAGTTCTACTTCTAACTCGGACATTGCAGTTTTCAAAAACGTACCTTATAAATTCCTTCCTCTACAGATCCTTCTAGTACAACGCCATTTATTAGGAATGCGGAAATTTTTTTATTAAGTTGTGGTAACCGGGATTTATCCAGCATACAAACGCCTCCTTGTCCAGATTCCAGGTGTTCTGTAACAGACAACGTGGAATTCTCTGGGAAATCTTCAATACTCTCTCCCTCCAGGGGCGGGTAATTGCTCAATTCGTGCAATATTTCTTCCTTTTCTCTCACGATTAAAGCTCCTACGATTCCGTGATCTCTTTGATATCCCACGTGGGAATGATACCAATGAGTTCCCGAAGGATGAGCCCGGAATATATATCTAAAATGAAACGTGTATCTCTGTTTACCCCCTGCACTTTGCAGTGGGATTCCTTAATCTCTGGTGGTTGAAAATAAAGGGCTGTAATGAATGTTTTAAGGGGGGTTATCAACGTTTGTTGACTTTGCTAACCCTGGAGACCTCCTGATGAGTGATAAAGTCTACGTTTTCTACCTGAATTTTCCACCTTCTTTGGGAATTGGGTATTGCGTTATATTCGCCACTCCATCCATCCAGGGAACATTTCTCTGATGCATCCCATGCCAATGTATCGAAGTCACTTCATCGATATTATTGATGACATCAACAACTAATATTCCGTAGTGTTTTACAATAATCGTGGGGCCAAATCTACCATTATTAATTTTGAAATTACTATTACCACCTGTGATCTCAAGCCTCACATAACAACCTTCGACGTCGTATCCACAATCACATACCGAAGGTTCAAAATTTGTTTCATCAGAGCAGGTGATATAGGGTACGCGGTGCTCGTCGAAACAGACAGGAGAATCATTTGTCGATAAACCTGTAAAATTTTACGATCTTATTAATGCTACATACAACAAAAAGACTCCTCACCTCCCCCTCCTGGCCATGTCGTCACCCCAGACATTGACATACATATACCTGGACTGCCTGCTCATCATTAACAATGCGTGATTCAAAATGGCGGCGATTATGAGAGTGTTTGCTCATGAAGTCGACCACTGACCAGTATTTCACTCTCATATTCATCAGGAGATCTGATTATCTGGATCTGACTTGCCACGCTCGTCGCTAAAAGTGTACGAGCAGGCAGTCCAGGTATATATATGCATGTCAATACTCCTAGAAGGCAAATGTTGACATCTGGAGCCAGTTGTTTAAAGCTGGGTTATAGCGCTAACCCTGCGTTAAATTTTAATCCACTGGTTTTGTTTAAATGCTTCTGAATCGCTGTTATTCGCAACAATTATTCGCTGTGAATATCGCCCAATGAGAACCGAGAGGAAGTTTTTAGAAGCTCTAAGTTCTAAGCTCTAAGTCAAGTTGCAATAAAAAGACAACAAACATGTCCGATCTCTTTTATATAATATCGTCTACATTGGGAGTCCTTCATGCCGTTCAGGTTTCCTCATCATAGAAAACCCAATCAACAAAATTACAATATTCAAATATTACAAGTCGAGTTATTTGGGTAAAGCTGGATAGCGCTATTCACTGGATATACTCTTCAATGGTTTTCATCTCCAAAGCTCTAATTTTTTGCATTTCCAACACTTTTACAACAACTGAAAACTCGCTACACGCGGTTGATAGCGTGATCTGGTCGCTGGTCAATTATTTTTTACAATTTTTATAATCCTGGCAATTCTATACTGATTTACTGAATAGAATGATTTCAGAATCGAATAGAAAGATGTGGTATATTATATCCGTAGACCGTAGGCATAGACGAAATCCAGCTAAAATCTTCTGTCGTGAAAAATAGCAATCTTGGCTATATACCATGCAGAACATCATTTAAAGTGGAAGTCAAATCCGTATTGTAAACAAGCGGTTTGTTTACATTTTTGAACTTCCACACTTCTTAAAATACATTGTGTTGTCTGAATATCTAACAACATCTAGGTTTGGTATGCTTTCAAAAGAATATAAACTAGTGTTTTTGTTGAACAAAATTCGAAACAATGCGAAATTTGGACAAAATTTATTCAGAATTTGTGTCGGAGCTCACGTCCACGGACTTGACTTCCACTTTAGGAACATCTGTTAAATATTTCTATGCATACCCTGCACTCTTGACATCACGAAGAGAGCGGCAGCTAGAGCCAGAATATACTGCATATCTAAAAGTATAAATCGAGAAATTAAGAAAGTTGCTAATATTCAGCATTTAACGAGTAAAGGAAGTCGTTTCAATGATTTTACAATGGTCTTCCCAAAACTACAGATGCAGCCGGTTGTACAAAAGCTGGATAGCGCTATTCATCGGATAGTGATTTTTCAACCGTTCTGGAAATGCTTGAAAAGCAATAAAATATCAGATTTGGAAGGAAAAATTATTTAAGCGAACCTTCAGTAAATTGTACTGAATTTAGGAATACTAAAGATTTAATGAAATGGTTTCCATTTGACGCCGACGACGGCAAAGTATTATTGTCGGTGATTTTTGATGAGTGAATCGGTGAAATATCTTGTCTTTCTGAAAATATTTTCTCCTTGGATGATAACAGACAATGACTCGGCGACAGGTCGGCGTCATATGGAAACCAGGCTTGATAAACTTGCACTCAACAACGGGAGATTTCAAAGCAAGTGAAAAAATCACAATCCGGTGAATAGCGCTATCCAGGCAGCCTTCGTACAACCGGCCCCTGATGTGTAGATGTGGTTCCCTCCCGACAATCACATGGGCAGAGAAAGCGACAACATAAAATAACCGTGATAACATGCAACCTTGAAAGAAAATGCCACAAAATAAGGAATTCAGATATAAGCCAATAAGGAACTCAGATCTAAAAGATTGTAACATGAATACTACCTAGCAACTAACATGAATACACTGTCTCATTTGCATCTAGTTAATAAAGAACTTTTGTTTTCGCTACTTACATATGAACTGAATATAAAACGTCGAATACGTCATTCAATGCTTGTCAACTAACTTTATATCATTTTCTTAATGTATAATAAAACCACTTATTATATAGAGGGGGGCCAGATATGAGGTATGCTACAATTTCATTGGTTGGCTACTAGACAGGTATTAGCTCATATCTCGCTAGTAGAGAAAGTAAACAAAATGGCTGAAAGATTTGGGGAGTTGAGTGAAATAGAAATCCAAGCTTTAGTTGTAATAGCACACCAAAATGCACCGAAAGGGCGACGAAGTTTGTGTATATAATAAAACTACGCGCCGAGTTGGCTATCGGCTCATATACGACGAAAGTGAGCAGAATAACTGTTAAATGTTTATAAGAAAACAGACATATATAACACTCACGCCTATAAGACAGTGTTCATCTTAATTCAAGACGATAGATCAAAACTCTTCAAGACACAAGTCTTTGACAGATATTTCCTGTCAAGGATTTAAAGGCATTGAATCCAAAGGAGCATTATCTTGTTTAGAATTTCTCGTTGGATCGCCTTTACATGCACTAACACTGACAGTTTAGGAATTCTGAGTGAAATCAACACCAAAATGTGTGCGATTTCTAAAAACAGCACGAGACGACAGTACCTATAATCTGACACTGAGTTATCTTGCTCTACCACATCACTACTATTATAAAAACACTTAAAAACAGGTATTCACATTTTTCCATATGGCTGATAACATCCTTTCCCATTAAATGGCTAAAAATGGACAAAATCCTGGCTAAAAATGCTTGCATTTGACTCGGCATTCGAAGTTGAGGGCATTTTGACTTACTGTGGTATTCATATAGGTTGGCAGATAAAAAAAAAGCGCAATGGCAATATATTTATGAAAAGGTTTGCAAGCAAATACTAAAGTTCAAACTACTATGTCGTACTCCAAGTTTCTCAAATGCCAATATTATAGCTTCCGTTGACAGAACTGAAAAATATTTTCCTTTATGTATTGAATATATTACTCTAACTCTAAAAGTTAAACCAATGAGAGCTTGGCATTTTACAATAAGTAACGAACGAGCTTTTTAGTCTTAGCCACAGGGGCGCCGGAACCACGGGGACAGTGGGGGTAGCTGTCCCCACCCCTGCCCTTTGCTTATGGGGGTGAGCGGGGGCAGCCCTGTGCCCTTTTCTACCATATAAAAGTATCATAAATTCAACATTTAATCATGATGTCTACTTTTCGCATGAAAAGTAACCGGTAATATTATTGAAAAGGTGTTCTCCCGTGGATTTGCAAGTTCGCATGTACTTGTAAATTTGAGTTTCCTCTTCGTGTGGTTGCTGAGGTAAAATGAATGTGCCCTTTTCTAAAACTCTGCCCCGGACGCCCTAAACTGCTTCCTTATATAGCCAATAGGGAACGATTAGCTTAACGTAAGTTTCGTTCATTACTGATAACGAAGCTACAAGTCCTTCGGTGAATGCCAATAACGACGTGAGCGAAAGGAAGGTTTATATCTGTTTTATAATACACTCAGAACTTCATTACAACTAATTCTCAATTCACAATTCTCAGAAGCACTATATACCAGCTGTTTTCACTATTTTCCGTATATGAGCTGATATATCGTATATAGCTTAGCCAATCACATCGCGTGACGCAGCAAATTCAGCGAGTAGGTATGTTGTAAACACTTTTCCCAATGAAAAACCGCAGCATTACAGATTACTCAACAGTGCAGCTCAACTATTTGTTCTTGGCGTCATATTACTAACAGTTTCGCACCACGGATGTGGTCTATATGACACTCAATCATTAGATGAATCAAAATATTATTTTGGAACAAGAAAATTTAAATTCTAACCTGATTTTCAGCGCGTATCTTGATTTTTGTAATCTGAGAAAGTAAAGGAATTATAGACGAGTAAAAAAGTTAAAAGTAAAAAAGTTACACGTCATTAAGTTAGGTAAAATAAGAAGTGAGTATTGTAAGTAATATTGTACCTGGAAAGAATTGCAAAATTGAAATGTACATCACAGCGAAATACAAGGTAGAAAAAATCATACCTGAATTTTTTTGCTAGTCTTCGCCAACCCAAGCTGATAATATGATGATGGTTTAACAGTTATGAACAAGTTTGTTCAAATCTGTTTGATATATAGTTTCGTTATACCGAGTATGCGCAGTCGGAACAAACTCTCAAGGGTTTCAAGAACTCAAGTGAGTACTGACAAATTAATGACAGGCCAGTTTGTGCTATTTTCATAGTCTCAGTGTAATCTTCAGCGGTTTCTTAGTACATAAATAATATGTTAGCTTTGGTCTTATATAAAAGCTTTATCACAGAGCCGTGGCTGGGGTCTTAATTAGGGGGAATATGTACATATTTATGTTCAAATATGCGTGAAAACAATCGCTATCAAAAGAAATCAGTCAGGCATAAGACGAGTATATGAATGCATACACACCCCCCAATTAGGCTTCTCTATCTAACTTCTCGCTTTGCTCAGCCAATATCGTAAACACGCCCCATCTGGTTCAGTGCTTTTGCAAAAATAGACTACATGCATAAAATTGTGGTGGCATAGTGTCAAATATAGATAAGTATATAAATAGAGATTTGAAGTATAAGTGTTTCAGATGATGCTATCGACTTTCAATGGTCTCTAAATCCGTGTTGCCCTCACGAGATTGAGTGTATTCTATCAGTATGGTGTGCATGCGTGTAGGCATAACTATGCGCAGGTATCTGAGTGTCGGCTGTTCAAACAACATTACTCCCGAGTTTTGGGATACACTTCGGATTGTTGTCGAGGCTGGGACATTTAGATGTACATTTGAGAATGAATCGAATGGGATGTAATTTTTACCTCTACCTCGTACGCATGCGCCGTGATTCTCTATAATGTGACAATGCCTTTATTTGCGTGTTTTAAAGCCAATATTGGAATATGATGGACATGCTTCAAGCACTTGTCGTGATTAACTAAATTTAGTACGAAGGTCTTTACCTTAGAACTGCATGAGAAGTAAGAATTTTACTTCTCTCTTATTTGTTGTCGTAAACACCTCCAACAGGTCACCTCAACTGCCTAAATCAGATTCCGCAAATATCGATAGCAATTTTAAAAGTTGGTATTCCAGGACTTGAAAGGGCGGAGTTATAAAAGAAATACACCCTAACCAACACATCACCTCGTGTTGGCGATATTCGTACTGTCACGGTTAAATTTAATTCGATTTGTTACTTTTCGCAAGTGAAATAGAACAAATTGAAGATTGTAGGAAAGTCCTTGAACTTGGCATGTCTTGCGTCACTGGTTGATTCTGCACAAATAGACTACACACCAATATAGTGGCATAGTGTTAAATATAGATATTAAGGATATATAAAGTGGCATAGTGTTAAATATAATAGATATTACACTATACCGCATTCACAAGGTCACGAAATCATTTCAAGTTGTTTTACAGTGTCTCTGTCCACAAAACTTTTTCATTTCGCAGATTATATTGAAGCAATCATGTCATCATACTTTTGGGAGTAAAATTCGCTTTGCTATGGCTAATTTTGATATGGTGCGCAAGCGAGTGGACCATATGCGCAGGCATCTGAGTGTCGGCTGTCAACTAACACTATATTATCTTTTGTGGTTTTTCGGATTGTTGTCGAGGCCGCAATATCTGGATAGATACATTTCTGGATTGATGCATCTCTGGATATAAATTTGAGAATAAGTCGTGTAGATTATAATTTTTTACCTCGGGGTATGTTGCAACAGTTCAAATTTGTAATTTGAGATTAATTACTCTGGCGATAACAGGGTATGACGTATATTGTTGACGGAATGATGTGGCATTCTTTTAAGCACATGTCATTATTAACAACATACCACAAGGGTCGTTTCTTTACAAGTTAGAAGTACGGACTTTATTCTCTCTTATTTTTCGACCTTCGTTTCGATAAACAACAACTTTGCCCCGCTGCTAAAAGTAAGTGGCGTCTGCGGGTGTGTAGTTTCCAGTAGACAGAAATACTTTTATTTTATGGAAACCCAAAGAAATATTTACCACATAAGACAAAAATTTTTCTTATACATGGTAAAAACAATAGCTAATTTACTTTAATACGTGCGAAATAGTAATGTTCTAGGCTAAAGTGGTCAATACAAATTAAATACAACTAGAATATACAACGTGTATAGGTGCATGTTGCATAAGCTACGAACAATTCAAAATCCTCTTGAGTCTACGTCATTTTATAAGCACATGTCATTATTAACAACATATAACGAGGGTCGTTTCTTTAGAAACGAGTGTAACAGTGCACCTATTGTGATTAAATAAAGCAGCGGTGGGATTGGACAAGAGGGCTAAATGCTGCGATTTTAGTACCGAATTTTAGCTCGGTAGGTTCGCTATGTGCGTTCATGACTCGTAAAACAATGTTTCTACCTTGCGAGCAGACTACTGTATGTGCCACATGAATGTCATTACCTGACTCGCTCTTTAGAGGCGCTATCATGCCTATTTCTGTCTTTGCTGATTTTAATAAACTACCCTCTACAATCATCTCAGATCTCGCGGGCACGACAACATTTTGGTCTAAAACTACGGCAATTTCGGCTTTCATACAAGACTGGATAAGGAAAGTTGAATCATTTTCCACGCATGTTTTGGGCGTTTCGCCAGAAGGGTCACCACTTGCCTCAGTCACTCCAGATATCAGTCCACCATTGGAAAGGGGTGATAAAAGAACTTCAGTCCGCCCGTGAGACCCCGTTAAGTAATAGGGGTTACACCCACTACAGGGGGATAGTCCGTCGTGCGGTCATCTCGGCTCAGCACGAACCGAACAGCGCATTCGCGAAAGTGCATTCGCATTCGAAAATTTCACAGAGCTACAGTCCAGGTAAGTAAACATAATGTGCTCACCTTTTCTTTTAATTTGCTATTCTTAACGTGCGTACAATAATAAAGTTCTTGGCTAAAATAGTTGAAATATGAAAACCGTCCTTCAAGCTCTCTGAAATATAGTTTCTACGACTTGAAGTGCATGCATTAACTACGAAAAATTTGAAGTGGGATGAAAATATGAAAACGTGAAAGAGATTGTTCCTTCTAAATCCATTACTGCATTTTCTTCATGTGCTGGCTCAGACTCATTCTTGGATTCAGCCATTCTTCTTTATAATTCTCGCCGGGAGATTCACCTTTATCCATCTCGTTCTTGACATCAAATTCTTCACCCGGTTCATTCGGGAAAAATCTCTCCTCGTCGGAGACGATTGGATCTTGGATGGACATCTCTTTTTGTTGGTCACATCGGTATTTCTCCTTTTCCTTGAAATCATTAACGGTCCAGCAGAATTCTGGAATATTTGTTTGATTCAGTCCACGTGGTGGTGGATTCTGACAGTGGACATCTTCACCTACGGCAATCGCCATCCCCCTGAGAAGATGAGGGTCAATGTGGCAATGCATGAACCACCATCCTGGATTTGTTGCAAGGAACTCGATCACAACGTAACCACCAGCAGGAACGATGATTACATCCTTGCGTATCGTTGTCTGGTCAACCCGGAGTCCATGTGGTTGGATGTTGTTCTTCCAGTGTCCATGTCCACAGCTTGGTACATCTATATCGTCGTTGACTGCTTTTATAGTACCATTCAAATAATAACTAGGATAGGCGATCTTTGTAACCCAGAAAGAATGACCATGCAAGTGGATTGGATGTGTGACCAGATTCGCGACATGTTCGTCTCTTATCTTTTCTGGTAGGTCAGACAAGACGAATCGAATAGACATTGAAGATCCCCTTTTCTTTACATAGACTGCGTGTGGACATCCCGCTTTGTCGCAGCGCTTTTCGGCCTCTTTGCCATATTTGCATTCGCCTGGTACACTTCCAAAGCTCATAGCAAAAGGTACTTTGGGGAATACATATTTAACGTTGTTAACAGTCGGATTGGATTTATAGAATTTAAAATTAAAGAAATCCTCCACAACTGGAGGCGGGTAGGTATCGTCTGGAAGCTCTTCACGTGGAGTGGGAACGAGCAGGCTTAGAGCTTCATAGACGGTGAAGCAGTTATACGATGGAGGAAACCCGGTAACCACAGGATAGTGCCCGAATGGACAGTTTAGCGCTACACAATTTTTCTTGCATGGTTCTCTCTTGACAGGCGCGAAGTATCTGAGATACGCAACCCCGACACCTAACGGTTGGCTGTGGTTGTTACAATATACTTCCACAGACTCGATTCGGATTGGAAATACTGCCCCTGCTTCAACATCAGTTCTGGTCTTCACGATAAAATCGTATCGTTCGCCGACGTGAACATGTACAGCGTCGGTTTCAAAAGGTTCCGTGAGGTAACTGTCCGTTGACACAACGTGCAATTTATGGCCATCGATGGAAATGCGGAAGACGGTAAACTCTATGGCGCCAATCACTCGAAATCTGTAGTTTTTTCCCTTCTCCACCGTATAATATGGTACCTGAAAATATAAATTAATTTGTGTAGTTAAACAGATATGATTTCACAAAATGCACCTCTTGGCGACGAGACATCATCTGGTACTAACGCAACAAGATAACATATATATGGTTTTAAAGTTTCTCTCTTGAGCCACGTGTCTGATTTATGTTTCGTCGGCTAAAAAATACAGGGTTAAATCTTCCCCACCCCTTCCCCCCTGGATCCCCTGTAGTTGTTACTTCTTCTAATCATAGCTAATAAAAAACATGGTTAGGAAACTCGACAAAAGACATTGCTTTATGTTTTTGTTCACGTTTATACAGATTTGTGCACTTATTCTGTATAATGAAGTTATCATCCAATAAAACCTCAATCACTTGACCTTAGGCCTGAAAATTATCCATGGCCAGAAATTGCGGACATGGAATATGCAGATTGCCGTAGCAAATTTGCATATCTGTTCAAATGTTATTTGTTTGCAGAACTATAAATTATATTGCGCATTCTTAAATTTCGCAAAATCGTTGCATCTTTGCAATTTGCCCTGGTTGTTTCTTGTAATTCGTGTCATATTAAAGATCCTGAAGTAATATTTTGCTGGTAAAGGTTTATCTCGGCTCTGCATTTTTATTTTATTTTTACGCCATTACGGTTTTCGTTTTATATGGTATTCTGCGTGATAAATGACCGAAACTTTGTTTTCAAAATGCAGGACGAATACTGATAAAACATTTTGAAATACTGCCTCAAAATATTAAGATTAACTTTCTCTGCAACGAGTAATTAAGGCAAATTATAATCGACCTACCTAAAGCTGTATTTATAGCGTTTAGTACTGTGCACATTACAGTTTACTATAAACTCACGAAGCTTTATTTTGACACCATATGCAAATTTAGGCGGAAGCAGAATGTTAATTATGTCCGAATTTTTTGGCCATGATGTTGATGGATTTATTAAACTTCCCAGTCAACAATGTTGTGCTGAAGCCTATGTTCAGTTATTTTTAACAATGTTTTTGAATTAGCCTTGTTGAACCATCATCCATCGATACTATTTCCAACAACACATTGCATAAACAATGATGATTGATGTAGGGCGTAGGATGGTTCCTGCAACAAATTATAACTGCCTTCTTCAACTCTACAACTTAGGGCACACCTACATCAGCGCCTCCTTTGCCCTCCAAATGAGAGCTATCGCCCCCCTCCCCCAGTGGTTTGATTCAAGACGTGTCCTGAAAGTGTAAAGGTATATATCTCGAGCCGTGCATCAAAATCTTTAAACTTATACAGGCTAATACAGCCATACAGGGTGTATTATGTCAAAGAAAGGCATTTGAATTAAATATTGCAGCGTATATACAAACGTCGAAATGTATTTATCGGATCCGTACCTGCTCATCATCTCGTACACGTTTCTGTAGTTTTACTCCATTTATTTGAAATGATGAGACATGTTCATCTTTTATTTCTGGCGGTGCGGATCCATCTGGTAAACAACCTCTTTCATGTCTGCCTACTCTCTCGTGTTCTGTGACAGAGAGCGTATATCGTTCAGGAAAATCTTCGAATTTTTTAACTTTTAGCAAAGGCTCCAATTTTTTCAGTGTTTCACGCTTTTCTTTAACAATAAGGGCTCCAAAAATGCCTTCGTCTCGCTGCTTTCCCACGTGTGAATGATACCAATGAGTTCCCGAAGGATGAGCGCGGAGTATGTATCTATAAAGAGGCGTAATTCATGACTGACGGCATATCAAAGTTGTCTTTGTCAGCAATTGTATGTTCTAGGGCGCTTTTCTTTATACGGTGAAAACGGCCAGACCGGTCCTAATACATGTATTTCAGTACAGCCAGAATACTGATATTTTACAGTGTTTCAAGAGCTCTGTACTCAAATATATCGCCTATATTTAGATCTGCCTAGCACGGAAAATGCAGTTTCACCGTTATATTCTTAATGAGAATCAACCAAGCAGAGTTTCCACAACACAACGCTCACGTTTTAACCAATCAGCTCAAGAAGGGGTTGGCTAAACAGAAATCCATTCTACAGTATTTAATCGATTTTGGTATAATTTCACTTATTTCAGTATTGAAGAATGGCTTTCAAGCATTCTGATTGGCTCCTTCACCAGTAACTATGAGGCAATAGTCGCTGCTCAGGCAGACGGCTCTCAGCAGTAACCACTGCTTTTAAAAAAATGTCGCAAAAAATTCGTCAAAATTTATCTGCCACTTCTCTTGATTCAAACTTCAACCTACCAAATCGGCTTTATTCATGAATTATATCAAGCATGATTCCATTACCTGAATTTCCCACCGTTTGGTTGGATTCCGTATTGCGTTACATCTGCCACTCCATCCATCCAAGGAACATTCCTTTGATGCATGCCATGCCAATGTATCGAAGTTTGATGTTGTTTCATGTTGTTGATCACTTCAACAGCTAATATTGCGTTATGTTTTATGATGATCGTCGGGCCAATGCGACCGCCATTAATACTGTGTAATTTTTTTTTATCACGTGGTTGAGCATTTGTGGTGATTACAAGGCGTACATAACATATGGCACTGTTGTCACAGTCGCATATCGAAGGTTGAAACAGCGTTTCCTCGGTGCAATGCACAAAGCGCTTGTCTTTTTTTTTGAAGCAATCCGATTGATCTGGTGTCGCTGTAAAAAAAAGTTTAGTGGTATTACACAACACGACACAAAATGAAAGTCGCCTTCTCTGTAATGACGTGTCACATTGAAAATTCGTAGAAGCAGAAGGGGCTGAAAGAATCATTTGTCGATAAACGTGTAACAATGCGTGATTCAAAATGGCGGCGATTATGAAAGTGTTTACTCATGAAGTCGACCGCTGACCAGTATTTTACTCTCATATTCGTCAGCAAATCTGAATCTGACTTGGCTGCCACGCTCGTCGCTAAAAGTGTACGCGCGAGCAGTCCAGGTATATATATGTCAATACTCCTAGAAGGCAAATGTTGACATCTGGAGCCAGTTGTTCAAAGCTGGGTTATAGCGCTAACCCTACGTTAAATTCAAATCCACTGTTTTTGTTTCAATGCTTCTGAATCGCTGTTATTCGCAACAATTATTTGCTGTGAATATCGCCCAATGAAAACCGAGACGAAGTTTTAAGCTCTAAGCTCTTAAGCTCTAAGTCAAGTTGCAATAAAAAGACAACAAACATGTCCGATCTCTTTTATATAATATCGTCTACATTGGAAGTCCTTCATGCCGTTCTAATTTTTTGCATTTCCAACACTTTTACAACAACTGAAAACTCGCTACACGCGGTCGATAGCGTGATCTGGTCGCTGGTCAGTTTGAATCCTTTTTTACAATTTTTATAATCTTGGCAATTCTATGCTGATTTACTGAATAGAATGATTTCAGAATCGAATAGAAAGATGTTGTATATTATATCCGTAGACCGTAGGCATAGACGAAATCCAGCTAAAATTTTCTGTCGTGAAAAATAGCAATCTTGGCTATATACCATGCAGAACATCATTTAAAGTGGAAGTCAAGTCCGAATGTAAACAAGCGGTTTGTTTATATTTTTGAACTTCCACACTTCTTAAAATACATTGTGTTGTCTGAATATCTAACAACATTTAGGTTCAGTATGCTTTCAAATGAATATGAACTAGTGTTTTTTTGAACAAAATTCGAAACAATGCGAAATTTGGACAAAATTTATTAAAAATTTTTGTCGGAGCTCACTTCCACGGACTTGACTTCCACTTTAGGAACATCTGTTAAATATTTCTATGCATACCCTGCACTGTTGACATCACGAAGAGAGCGGCAGCTAGAGCCAGAATATACTGCATATCTAAAGCCTCTAAAAGTAAATCAAGAAATTAAGAATGCTGCTAATTTTCAGTCTTTAGAACGAAAATGAAGTTGTTTCAATCATTTTACAATGGTCTTCCCAATACTATAAACATGCGGCTTTATTATACATTAAGAAAATAATATAAAGTTAGTTGACAAGCATTGAATGACGCACGGGCGACGTTTTATATTCAGTTCATATGTAAGTAGCGAAAACAAAAGTCCTTTATTGGTTAGATGCAAATGAGATTGTCGGCAAAGAACCACATCTACACATCAGGGGCCGGTTGTACGAAGACTGCCTGGATAGCGCTATCCACCGGATAGTATTTTTTTCACTTGCTTTGAAATCTCCCGTTGTTGAATGCAAGTAATTTTTCCTCTATCTCGTGCGCATGCGCCGTGATTCTCTATAATATGACAATGCCTTTATTTGCGTGTTTTGAAGGCAATATTGTAATATGATGGACATGCTTCAAGCACTTGTCGTGATTTACAAAACTTAGCACGAAGAACTTTTCCTTACAACTGAGAAGTAAGAACTTTACTTCTCTCTTATTTGTTGTCGTAAACACCTCCAACAGGTCACCTCAACTGCCTAAATCAGATTCCGCAAATATCGAAAACAATTTTAAAGGTTGGTATTCCAGGACTTCAAAAGGGCGGAGTTATAAAGAAATACATCCTAACCCACACATCACCTCGTGCTGGTGATATTCGTACTGTCACGGTTAAATTTAGAACCACAAGAACCACATCTACACATCAGGGGCCGGTTGTACAAGACTGCCTGGATAGCGCTATCCACCGAATAGTATTTTTTTCACTTGCTTTGAAATCTCCCGTTGTTGAATGCAAGTGTATCAAGCCTGGCAGATAAACAAAAAAGCGCAATGGCAATATATTTATGAAAAGGTTTGCAAGCAAATACTAAAGTTCAAACTGCCATGTCGTACTCCAAGTTTCTCAAATGCCAATATTATAGCTTCCGTTGACAGAACTGAAAAATAATTTTTCTTTATGTATTGAATATATTACTCTCAACTCTAAAAGTTAAGCCAATGAGAGCTTGGCATTTTACAGTAAGTAACGAACGAGCTTTTTGTCTTGGCCAATAGGGAACGATTAGCTTAACGTAAGTTTCGTTCGTTAATAACGAGCCTACAAGTCCTTCGGTGAATGCCAATAACGACGAGAGCGAATGGAAGGTTTATATCTGTTTTATAATACACCCAGAACTTATTTACAACTAATTCTCAATTCACAATTCTCAGACGCACTATATACCAGCTGTTTTCACCATTCTCCGTATATGAGCTGATATATCGTATATAGCTTAGCCAATCACATCGCGTGACGCTGCATATTCAGCGAGTAGGTATGTTGTAAACACTTTTCTCAAATGAAAAACCGCAGCATTACAGATTACTCAAGAGAGCGGCTCAACTATTTGTTCTTGGCGTCATATTACCAATAGTTTTGCACCACGGCATGCATACCTTTTGTCTCGCGTGGGGAATTTATTTGTCATAGTTCAAAGCGTCATCGAGTTAATATTAACTGCGTTTGCTTTGGAAAAGCGAATTAGCAGCAACCCTACTGCGATTGACTTATAATTAAAATGCTTGATATATTAACACCCAGGAGGCTGCCTTTCCATAAGGGAAAGTCTATATCACTATGTTTATACCGAAATTGACGGATTACTAAATAAGCTATGTCAATATGTAAGGTCATCATTATTCTTCGAAATGCCGATGTGAGGGGCTCTCAACTGAGTCAAGTGATCACTGATGATGCGAGACTATTCCTGTTTGCTGCCCTGCTGATGTTCAGAACGCAACCTTTAAGTAAATATTTGATAGCAATTAAGTCGTATAAACCTTTTTTCCTGTCGTGGTATGCGCATGTGTGGCAATTTTCTCTAATTACGACACGGGTGTTCTCATTTACGCCTTTTCATGTCTACACTGTGTACGATTTTTATTAAAAAAATGGATAAAATAGTAAACTGTAAGATTTTGAATGAATCGCTCTTTGCTTAATGAAATAAACTTAGGTAAAGGAGTGGTTCAGTCGCTGCTGCGCATCGGGATTTCCTTTATGTATTAATGTATTACTCTAAACTCTAAAAATTAAACCAATGAGAGCTTGGCATTTTACAATAAGTAACGAACGAGCTTTTTAGTCTTAGCCAATAGGGAACGATTAGCTAACGTATAAGTTTTGTTCATTAATGAGACTACAAGTCCTTCGGTGAATTTCAGTGACGACGAGAGCGAATGAAAGGTTTATATCTGTTTTATAATACACCCAGAACTTCATTACAACTAATTCTCAATTCACAATTTTCAGACGCACTATATACCAGCTGTTTTCACACCTGAGTTGATATATCGTATATAGCTTAACCAATCAGATCGCGTGACGCCGCATATTCAGCGAATAGGTATGTTATAAACAAATAATGTACTCAGTTTCTCAATGAAAAACTCAGTTTCTCAATGACCGCAGCATTACTCAACTATTTGTTCTTGGCGTCATATTACCAATAGTTTTGCACCACGGATGTGGTCTATATGACACTCAATCATTAGATGAATCAAAATATTATTTTGGAACAAGAAAATTTAAATTCTAACCTGATTTTCAGCGCGTGTCTTGATTTTGTAGTCTAAGAAAGTAAAGGAATTATACCGGAGTAAAAAAGTTAAAAGTGAAAAAGTTACACGTTATTAAGTTGAGGTAAAATAAGAAGTGAATATTGTAAGTAATATTGTGCCTGGAAAGAATTGCAAAATTGAAATGTACATCACAGCGAAATACAAGGTAGAAGAAATCATACCTGAATTTTCTGCTTTTCTTCGCCAACCCAAGCTGATAATGAGATTATGGTTTAACAGTTATGAACAAGTTTGTTGAAATCTGTTTGTTATATAGTCTCGTTATACCGAGTGTGCGCAGTCAGAACAAACTCTCAAGGGTTTCAAGAACCCAAGTGAGTACTGACAAATTAATGACAGGCCAGTGCGTGCTATTCTCATAGTCCTCAGCGGTTTCTTAGTACATAAATGACATGTTAGCTTAATTATGGGAAAAAAGTGTGATTGGCTCAATTGGAGCCAATTAAATTTCGTGTAATCTCAGACCGTTCCGCGTTTGACCTCATTATAAGAAAGGTCTATCAGGCTTCTCTATCTAACTTCTCGCTTTGCTCAGCCAATATCGTAAACACGCCCCATCTGGTTGCTTTTGCAAAAATAGACAACAATCATAAAATTGTGGTGGCATAGTGTTAAATATAGATAAGTGTATAAATATAGATTTGAAGTATAAGTGTTTCAGATGATGCTATCGACCTTCAGTGGTCTCTAAATCCTTGTTGCCCTCACGAGATTGAGTGTATTGTATCAGTATGGTGTGCATGCGTGTAGGCATAATTATGCGCAGGTATCTGAGTGTCGGCTGTCCACGCAACTTTACTTCGGAATTTTGTTGTTTTTCGGATTATTGTTGAAGCCGCAACATCTGGATATACATTTGAGAATGAATCGAATGGATTGTAATTTTTTCCTCAACCTCGTACGCATGCGCCGTGATTCTCTATAATATGACAATGCCTTTATTTGCGTGTTTTGAAGGCAATATTGTAATATGATGGACATGCTTCAAGCACTTGTCGTGATTTACAAAACTTA